GGTGACTCTACCAACAGCACAGTTCAGAAGTGAGGTCAGAGTCTGTCAGGCTCTTAATGAACGTGAGACCTCGAGCAGATCGCCTTCCACCAGCCTCTGACCACTCTGGGCCCTACTCAATTTACTCGTTGGCCCTTTGCCACTTCTGTCGGTAGAACACAGAAAAGTGGCCTGATATTGATGAATGTGTTGTCAGTCATTCAGGAAAAAAGTCTGCTATGAGCCAGAGGCCACACCAGGGGTTACATATTAGGGAGAAACAAAGTGGTGGTTGGTCTTTGAGCTCATAAAACTCATCATCTAGAGGGAGTATAGGCACTGACCAAACAACCATTTAGTTAAAAATAGAGTTCACTCCGGTGAAGAAGAGGAAACAAGGCAGTGTGTGAGAGAATTAGGAGTGGGAGGGAGTAAAGGAAAGAACACATGCTTCAGACAGGGAGATCAGGGAGGCCCTTCTGAGGAGGTGACATTTTATTTATTTATTTATTTTTAATCCTCACCCGAGGACATTTTTCCATATTTTGTTCAGATAGAGTTGTAGGGAGAGAGAGAGAGAGAGAAACATCGACGTGAAAGGGACACATCGAGTGGTTGCCACCCACAAGACCCAAGCAGGGCCGGGGACAAATTGCAACCGAGGTACGTGCCCTTAGCGGGAACCGAACCCGGGTCTCTCTGGACCACAGGCTGATGCTCTAATCGCTGAGCCAAACCGGCCAGGACAGGAGGTGACATTTTAGATGCGAATGAGGGCTGCAAAGGAGCCAGGCATGGGAAAGGAAAAGGAAAAGCATTCCAGGCTGAGGGAACAGCCTGTGTAAGGGCCCCCAGGCAGGAAAGGGCTGGAGACACTGACGGAGCTAAGGGAGGCCAGGACAGCTGCAGCGAGATGAACTTTTCACATAAGGCCTCCTACCGGGTCCATGTTAACAGTGTCCTCTGAGCTGTGCCACATGGTGGCCATGGCCAAGAGATGAGGCTGACGGCTGATAGAAGCAGACTGTGGCCATATTACACCACGTCTTAACTGATCTGATAAGGAGATTGTGGTGTGGCAAGTGAAATTTTTATAAAACTCCAGTAAGTGGCGCACTAGAGTAAAACGTTGTGATTACTCTAAGAGTAGCACAATTCTATTAAGCTGGATTGTCTTGTACAGGGCGCATTCTTAGATAGAAACATTGAAAACTTTTCGAAGTGCTTGTTTATTCTTCTTTCAGATCTTCATAAACTGACAGCTTCAAACATGGAAGCTGCCTTAGACCTCTCTCAACCTCCATGAGACCCTGAAACTAGATGTAAATGTGTATTTTCTACGCTGGGATTTAATTATAAGAAACTATTACATCCATGGCATTCCTGTATTTACTCTAGAAACATGCTTTATAGATTACACAGGAAATTTGAGAAGGCTTGGAAAACAGATTAGACTTTCGCCATGGGACATAAATCAGAGATGGGATTAGAGACTCTGCTAAGGTTCCTTCTATTTTGAGGATCCAGGGAGTTGCATATATTTGGAATAGAGACCTTTAAAATGTTCTGGGAATTAAAAAAAATTCTGAAAAAAACTCCCATAGTCCCAGGGTTAGATCATTACACAAAAGAGATTTCATCCAAATTAAAAAGAATTAACAAGAATTTCGGAGCGTTCTAATAATAATTGAGCTCACTAGAAAGAGAATGCTAATGTGTTTGATCTTGGAAGAACAACAGAAAGTCATCCTGACCAGAAACATTCTCAGAAGATGAAACCAAGCTCGTTGTTAGAACATTCCAAAGGCATTGCTGGGCGCTGCACCTGTCCAGGCTGAAGAGGCAGGTGAGGGTGGGCTTTCTGACGGAAATGCTACGGCGGAAGCTATGCCCATTGCAATGACAGTGGGGATGCCCTTACCTGGGAGTCTAAGCCTTATGTGCTCTGGGCCAAGGACATGTCCCGGGAGTTTGGGACCAGAGATAACAGCTGCAGGAGGGAAACGGTAAGGAAGAATGTGACAACAGTGAGAAGGTCAAGAACATAACGAGATAGAAGGGAGAAGGAACAGTAACTAGCAGAGCAGACAGCTTAGTGCCATCTCAGCAGAGTACCTTCTCCCTCCCCAGATAAGGTATAAAAAATGTTACTTATAAAAGGATGTTAAAATTGTTTTGGAGCATGAAGGGAATTTCACTAACTTTTCTCATTTTTGTCTGTGAAAATGCTTTGTGTGTGTGTATGTGTTCATAATATAACACAACTCTTAGAGAATTATAGGACCCTACACTATTCTTACGGTAATACCATCAGCAAAGATGTGTATTTCCGGATAAAAGTAGGTCAGCAGTAATTTAGATGAGAATGTTTTAAATGTACAGTTATGCAAATGATAAGTAGCAGGTCAAATGCAGATCAAAAGAGTTTCCTTATGGTAGTTCATATAGAACTAAAGTTGTTCTGGCCCTCAGATAAGAGAATTTAATTGCATGACTCCAAAATGGAAATAAAGCTAAATGTAAACTATATTTTATTTTATTGATTGATTTGAGAGAGAAACATCGATGAGAGAGAACATCAATCGGCCGCCTCCTGCATACCCCCTACTGGGAATTGGGCCCACAATCTGGGCATATGCCCTGACCGAGAATCAAACCGGTGACCTCTTGGTGCATGGGTTGACACTCAACCACACCGACTGGGTGTAAAATATATTTTATAGGAATAATTCCTTCTCTCTTCTCTTTTTATTTATTTTTTTTCTTCTATCTAAATTACACAAATCAGTGGTGACGATATCTATAGTTTTTATTTTTATTTTTTATTGATACATTTTTTTGTTAATCCTCATCTACTGATATTTTTCCATTGGGTTTTAGACAGACTAGAAGGGAGGGAGGGAGGGAGGGAGGGAGGGAGAAAAATCAATGGGAGAGAGACACATCAATCAGCTGCCTCCTGCACGACTCCGACCAGGGTTGGGGACCGAACCTGCAACCCTCAGTCTGTGGGCCGACGCTCTAAACACCAAGCTACACTGGCCAGGTCATTTTATTTTTTAATAAAATACATTTTTTTATTTTTTATTATTTTTTTTTTTATCCTCACCCGAGGATATTTTTCCATTTTTTGTACAGATAGAGTGGGAGGGAGAGAGAGGAAGAGAGAGAGAGAAACATCGATGTGAAGGGACACATCGAGTGGCTGCCACCCGCACGACCAACCAGGGCCGGGATCAAACTGCAACCGAAGTACGTGCCCTTAGCGGGAACCGAACCCGGGTCTCTCCGGACCGCAGGCCGACGCTCTAACCGCTGAGCCAAACTGGCCAGGGCTAAAATACATTTTTTGATATGCAGAGTACTTACACATTTTTCTAGAATAAATACTGTGATAATTCTAGTGACATGGCCGCTATCAATGCATTAGAATTATGCAGAGTCCTCAGCTTTATAACCTAAAAGCCCAGCACTCTCACCCTGTACTGATGGAACCCGAATCAGAACAACCGGCATGCAGAGGAAAACCAAACCGGAGAGAGTTTCAACAGACTCCCTCTGACAGGCCCTGCGACCGGAGGACCGAGGTTTGTTATATGTCTACGCTGCTGCATCAGAAGAGCTCCGGTTACATTTCAGTGTTACATCTGAAGAGAAATCCTAGTGACAAAGTCTGGGGATTTCTTTTCAGTCAAAAGGCAAACAACTTTCCCTTTCCTCGCAGAGGAATTGTTTAGGGTTAGCTCTTCGATTCAGAATTGGAAATGATGCTAAAGCAGGTTTCTGAAGAAATTAAATTACAAACTGTCATATTCCATCCCACTTGATGTGAATGAGCAGAGCCTCTAGGATAAACTCGATCAACATTAAAAAGGGTAAAATCGTATTGCTGTTTCTAGAGAACAAATAAAAAGAGATTTTTTTTTAAAAACACCCCCAGACTGCTCACACTTTCCAAATAATAGCACAAGCTTTTCCTCTGGCTATCGCTGACGCAAACCTTTTCATTTTAAACAAAGCTGCTTCCTGACTCTCTGTTCCTAAAGTCCCTTATTAGGAGTGAACTTTTATATCCAATGATTCAGAATTGGCTGTTTGACCTCAAAGCCACCTTTATGCAACATCTGAGTGATGAGAGAGGCCTGTCTCCATGATAATGATGCTGATTGTAGCGACCCCGTGAGCAGACCGGCAGCTCGCGTTTGGAGTATTTACCAGGTGTAGGTGTGTGCAAAGCGCATGATGTCCATGCTAGTGCTTCATTCTTAAAACCATCTACACGTCTGCTGTCACTCTTCCTCTTACAGAAGAGGCGATGGAACTAGACGAAGATGGAGGTGTCCCATGTCACACAGGTCAGTGAAGTCAGTTCACTGGACCCCAGAACCCTTGCTTTATGACTGCATTACACTATTTCTCCACTGCTGAAGCACACAGAGCCTCCAGACACAGAAAGAGAGGCATTCTGCGGGCCCTGCAAAGGCCGGCGGTAGACAGAGACCTCTGGCCACTCTGGAGTGTGCAGAGAGCCCGTGGTTTGCTCTGGGTCAGAGGCACCAGAGCAAACTCCACAGCACTGGTTTAACACTCGGGCTCTGGCATTGATCAAACCAGGGTTCAAACCCTGACCTGGGTGCTTCCCAATATATGACTGTTACTTAATCTCCTTGAATTAAGTTTCTTCTGTAAAATGAAAATGATAATAGGATCATCTCACCCAAGGTTGTGAGCTATAATAAAATAACGCAGATAATGTTCTTAGAGAGTACCTGACACAGTAAGTCTTAGTAGTGCCAACTACCGTTATTACGGACTAAGCAGAGACCACGCAGAGCTCAGAAACCGCACTGGAGTATAGGAAGCACCAAGGTGTCCTGTATTCATGTCTGTGACACTGAATGGACACGTGAAAGGTCACAGGCTCCTTGGCTACTCAACACCACTGCTGCCGAGAGGCGGGGGAGGGGGGGACAGGCAGGGGTCCTTGCCTTGCGCTCAGAAAGGAAGGAGGCATTACTGACCGAGTCGACGTGGTTGGCTCTGTGACTTGGCGCTTCACGCGGACGCCGCGGGCACAGTTCGGGGCCCCCGCCTGGGTGGAGAGGGGAATGTCGGGGGAGGTGTGGCTGATCTTCATGGAGGAGTCAGGGCAGGGGCTGGGAGGGTCTAGGCAGCCCTCACTGTTCTCCTGCTCATTGGTCTCTGTGTCCGTGTAGTTAAGAGGCTCCTGGTTGTTGTCTTTGCTACCAGAGAACAGGCCTCGTTCTCGCCACGGAACCCAGCAGAGTTTCCAAGACACGAAGAGAGACACACCAAAGAGAGCGAGGCCACAGGCAGTGACCACAAGGGTCAGCAGGCTCACTGAGATATCTGCAAAGAAGCAAAGATGGAAGGTCAGTATGACTGCCACCCCCACCCCCCAATGCACAGGGCGGGTAGAACAACCCTGTCATCCGTTCATCTCTCAGCAGCCGGCTGAGGAAGGCCATGGGTCCTCCGATTCTGAGGTACAGACAGTGGGGACCTGGACACGAGCAGAGGAAGTAACACACAGGCTGTGTTGAGAAACAAGAGACAGGGTATCCAGGGGACTCGGGAGCCTGCAGGTCAACCACAGCGGTGCTGTTTACACTCTCCCACGGCAACACTGATCGTTGACACTGAGCGAGAAGGGCAGTTTCAACTGTCCTTCAAAATTCCTCTGTCACCTCAGAGGGGAGGTGGTGGGGGACTGGAGAAAGGAAGGTGAAGAGAGTAGCCAAAGAACATGTATGCATGGCCCGTGGACACAGACAACCGAGTGGTGAAGGCCAGGGGAGGTTGGGGGGCTGGGTGGAGGGGACCCAGGGGAGAAAGATGGGGAACAAAGGGAAGGAAGACGGGGGACATCTGTAATAGTGTCAACAACAACAAAATCCTCTGTCATCTCAGAGAGCTGTATAATATCACTTGGGAATTGTTTAAGCGACAACTTTATAAAACAAACAAAGAAAAACCTAGAGTGCTTTTTCTCTATTTTTTTAATATTAACTTTGAAGGGTCTAAGCAAAAGGAAGCTCGAGTCATCTGAAGCCTCAGGAATTCCACATCCCGGGGCCCAGGGTGCCTGGGACCCAGTTCCGACTTCCCCAGTTGGCAGACCTGAGACAAGTATTCAGGGGCAAGTGTTTGTTGGGATGGAGACAACACAGGTAGGGGACCAGGGGAGGGACCAGGGAGGGAAGCCAGCAAATGGGCTTTCTCAAGCCAGTTACCACCGCGCGGGACTGGAGGCTGTGCCTGCTGGGGAGGCTCCATGCCTGGAGTCTCCCTCCCCGGGGGCAGGGACATGGGCTCTTTGTAACATCAACTCCCTTCAGCCCCTGATTTGAGAGAAGCTCTCAGGGGGTGTTTCCAACCTGCAGCATGGGTGGCTGCAGTGGCCAGAAAAAGCCCACATGCACCTGGCGTGCGCCCAGGAGTAAGGGTGCAGCACGTGGCTGGTGGCCCCAGGGCCTCAGCTAGGGTCCATGGCAGTGCGTGTCCAGTGGCTTGTAACTCCCAGAACAAAGCCCAACCCCCTCCATGCTTCTGCCCCATTTACTAGTAAAGCCAAGGAAGCTGAGGCATCAACCTAAGCCCATTCCTGGTGCTGTGGTGGCTGTGAACCCCTTCCTTTAAAGGACACCCCTAATGCCCTTACTGTGCTACAAGGACTCTCCCCAGGTTATATCTCTACTGCCCATCAGCAATGTTCGCACCTGCTTTAGCCAAAGTTTTCTGAATATCCTTACATGCCAGGTACTGTGCTAGGCTTTGGAGATACAATGGTAAAGAAGAAAGTTAAGAATTAGTTATTTAATACTCACAATGTTAACTATCTATAGCACGCCAACAAGCCATGATACGTGACCATTTGTATTTTGCTTAGGCATGCCCCTGAACCCTTCCTGCAAAGCACTTACCTCCTGAGTCAAGCGGACCGCCTAGCATCCATGTGCTTCTCAACACGACTCTGAAGGTCCCTGATCATTCTTCTGAAATGACGGAACAGTTTCTTCATGAGAAATTGCTCCTGACAGGCAGCCAGCTGCTAGGGCTGGTGACGGATCTAACGTATCTCCTCTCTGACTCCCAATCAATCTTTGCCCTTGTGGCGAAACAATCTTATATCTCTGTTTGAAAACACTGGGGTTCCAACTTCAACAGGGGTAACCGAGCTCAAATCTTGGCCACTTTTCTGTCTTCCATCCCACGGAAATGGGAGAAGCAAACTACATAACAATGGAAAACAAGGATGGGTGCCATCGATCTCTCAGCGAACCAGTAACATGGAGGGATTTCTGGAATTGTTTTCAAGGGAAAGCCAATCAGTGCTGCACACTGCACACAAGCAAATGAAACCACTGGACACCAAGGGAGAAATAAACATAAAACACCCCGGCTGCAGAGCAACAAGGGCAGGGATGAGGACTAGGGAGCAGTCAGTGGGGCAAAGGAAAGGGCAGCGGACATCACCGGTCAGAGAGCCCCGCCAGGAGGTAGGGGAGCAGGGGTGGCCGCAGGCTCCACCAGGTCCTGCCAGCTCACCCAGAAGAGTGAAATGTGTTGGTGAAACTTCTATGATAGATGGTAGTGGTGGGACACAGGGAAGGAGACCCTGTCCCAGTTAATCAGGCTGTCACAGGACACCAACCCCCACTCCCTCCAATGAAATCTAAAAACAGGCTTCACACCACAGTGAAATCCCTTAACATTCTGTAATCCAGATGGAGGCAAAACTCCTCCCTCTTTCCTGTTAGTAACCCCAGCTCTGTCCTGACACAGGCACCAACCGGAGACCACCAGCAACAGCCAGAGGAGGGGTATGAGGAAGGCAGTAGGGTCAGCTGCATTATTATTTACCCGATATCCACTCTCCCCACCACAGCGCCCCCTCGGAGGGAGGCGCATAAACCCCTACATCCCATGTCGGTCTTGGCCATGTGACTTGCTCTGGTCAATGAAATATGAGTAGATATGGCCCACACCACCTCAGACCACAGGATTCTGGGCTGCCACCTTGTGCCGAGGGAAGAGGGATCTCACGTAAGGGCTGACCGTCCAGCCTGCGCGCCACCACGGCATGGCTGTGGCACAGGCGCAAACTCCAGAATGAGGAGCAAACTGAAACCTGACCCACAGACGTGGCCAGAGTCTGCAGCTGATCCATAGACTCACTAAGTAGCTGATGTTTTAACTCACTAAGATTTTGAAGGTGTTTGTTACCATGGCAAAACGTTGACTAATATACATGACCCTGTAACTTATTGCCCAAGGTTGGGATACTTTTAAGAGGGAAAAGAGATCTGGCCGGTTTGGCTCAGCGGTTGGAGCGTCGGCCTACGGTACAGAGAGACCCGGGTTCGGTTTGCGCTAAGGGCACCTACCTTGGTTGCAGTTTGTCCCCGGCCCTGGTTGGTCCTGTGGGTGGCAGCTACTTGATGTGTCCCTTTCATGTCAATGTTTCTCTCTCTCTCCCTCCCGCTCCCTCCCGCTCTGTCTGAACAAAAAATGGAAAAATGTCCTTGGGTGACGATAAAAAAAAAGAGGGAAAAGAGGTGAGAGAAATAATCACATGGGACAAGAGACTTCACCCAGGACTGTCCAGGGTAAAGCAGGTCATCCACTTGAGAACTTACTAGCTTGGTACAGCATGGTGCCTCGGGCTTTACTTGGCATAGAAAACATGCTAAATAAATTAAAGACTGGGCTCACCTTTGCTAGAAATCACAGGGCCCTGACCCAGTGCAAGAATAATTCCAGTTTGTTAATTTATTAGTTGACTCCCAGCTCATGCACCCAAAAAACAGCTTGCTCACAAGTCCAGTCATGGGGGACCCATGAGTGCAGAGAGCTCATCTGTCAATGTAGCATTGAATCCCAAGCGTCGGAAAGAGGGCCTGGCATGTAGGAGGCATTCAGTAAAGGTATGATGAAGTCCACCTGAGGAACCCTGTAGCCACTCCCTGTGTTTAGCGTGAACTGCATGCAGTATGGCCTGTAAACTCTAGGAGGCGCTAGTCACATTCACAGTCACAGATTTCTGTGCATAGAGTTGTTAGAGAAAATTTTTGGCAAGTGGCAAGAGTGACTGTTTCTTATTCGCCATGTGGGTTAGCAATGGGCCGGGGAACACCTGCCAAGGGAAACTGTGGTGACCTGTGCTGCCGCACCAGCCACTGAGCACAATCATCCGGACTTCTGTTTGCAACAGCTCACGGAGCTCTCACACAATATATTCATACTTTTCTCTCTTTTTCCAGAAAGAAGTGTTGAGAGCCCGGCCGGTGTGGCTCAGTGGTTGAGCATTGACCCATGCACCAAAAGGTCTCCAGTTCGATTCCCGGTCAGGGCATATGCCCAGGTGGTGGGTCGAATCCCCAGGAGGGGCATACAGGAAGCAGCCAATAGATGTTCTTTCTCATTGATGCTTTTATCTTGCTCTCCCTCCCCTTTCCTCTCTCTCTAAAATCAATAAAGAAAGAAAAAAAAAAAAAAAGAAGAAGTAGTATTGAGAAAACTGCTATGGAGTCACTAAGGCCATAGATACTACCAACCTCCTACCCCACGACCTCAGGAAAGGGAGAGGGAAGATTCACTTAGAATCACAAAATAGCTTTATTTAGAAGAACAGAAGTTGTTTCTTCAGTTAGGTGGTAGGTACATGGCCATTCTTTTTATTATTGATCTTTAAACTATGTGTATTCACTATGTATACTCTTAGGCATTCGTGGTATATTTGATAATAAAAATTGAAAAAAAATAGAGACATCAAAAATTATTATTCTAAAGATAGTTTTTCTAAAGAATAAGAAGGATAATTTTTCTAACTGGCTTTTGTCCAATGCTGAAGAGGATAACCAGATGGACAATCAAGGCTAAAAGGAGACCAATGGTAACCCAGTTCTGATCCGGACCAGGGGGGCTGTTGCTGCTGGGGAGTGACCGTGCATGAAACTACCCAGAGATGCCGGAGTACATCCTCCCAGGGAAGATGCGGCATGGAAGGCCCTGCAATCGGCCTGTCAGAATCCTCTATCGCTGGCTATCAGCCCTAACCACAGGACATAATGTGTTTCAGTAACATCTCTGGACACCAGATACAACACGGAGTGACATCTCTAACACAGCAGACATCCCAGCTGGACACCTTTAATTCTAAGGGATCCCTGCAGGCCTGAAGACTTACTTTGGAATGGCAAATATTATTGTCCAGTGAGTGAAAGCTTATGGACAGGGGAACCATACTTGCCCTGCTAAATTGTGAAGGGCCAGAAGGAACACATAAACTGACAACCAAAGAAAAGTCCAGGGATAAATGGGACAAATCAACAACTTAAAAGAGAGCC